CTTTTTTTTTTTTTTTAGAGATTTTTGCCATAGGGCATATGAACTCACCAGAAAGACAGAGAGAGAAAGTGACAAAGCAAGCTGCCAGGTCTGAGATTCGAATCACAGTCCACCATGTGGGAGTCCAGTGCCTGAGCCACCATGCAACCTACTGGCCTTAAAAATTGTTTTTCTAATTCTAAGTATTATCAGTCTTTTTTAAATGCATATTTTACTTTTGCAGGACAGAATCTTCTCATACATACAGCTTTTTAGTCAGAGGTTGTATGTGCTCACTTGAGCGAAACAAGAGAGTGAGCACATAAGAAAGCACCCCCATAGGGGATGGTCATGTTGTAATCCTTCTCTTCCATTTCTCCCTCCTTTTGGGATTTGGGCTTGTACACATATGTGTCCAGTGTGTTTTTCAAGCCACTGTATTTACGACTCAAATCACACAATTGGCCATGTGGAATCCATCTGCCTTAGTCCCTATGCTGTTGGCAGGCCCAACATATATTTTTATTTTGTAATATATTGTATTTTCCTGTGTCACTATTTATTCATCTATATAATTTTAAATGGCTACATGATATTTCATTCTGTGTATGTATCATAATTTACATAATCAACCTCCTATTGTGACATTGGGCTATTTTTAAATTTTTTTCTTATTAAAAGGAACTCTGTGGTAAATATCCTTGGTATAAGCATCTTCTTTATATCTCTTTGTAATTTCCACACGTTCTAGAAGTAGAACCGCTAGGTCAAAGGGAATATACATTTAAAATTTTGGTAGCCTTTGCCCAACGCTCGTGGTAAAGGTATAAGAATGACTTTTTCCCACTCTTGCTAATACCAGGTATTTTTATTCTTTTTAATATTTGTTAATATAGAGACCAATAGGTGATGTGGTGGTTAAGGTGTTGTACTCCCACATGGCCAACCTCAGTTTGAATCCCAGACTTGGCGGCTTGAAAATCACACTGGGCACATGTGCATGTATGCCCAAAATCCTGAGAGGAGAATGGAAGAGGAAGGATTCCAGCATGGCCAGGCACTGAGGCCATGCCCTCTGGGGGTGGTGGTGGTGGTGGTGGTGACTTCTCACTTTCTCTTTCATTATCTCTATCTAGGGAAGGCATGTGCTCTATGGCCAAAAAAAAAAAAAAAAAAGTTAATAGGTAGAAATTGTATATTTGTATTTTAATTTGTGTTTCTCTGGTAATTAATGAAGTTAGATATTTTCATTTCATATTTTTTGGCTTTTTTTTCTTTTATGAATGTTTTTCTTTCTTTATATATATATTTTTTTTTTTGAGAGGTTTTTGCTATGGGCATGTGTGCTCACCAGAAAGAGAGAGACAGAGACAGAAAGCAAGAAATCACCCCTCAGGGCAAATGACCATGCCGCAATCCCTTCTCCTCCATTCTCCTCTCGGGATCTTGGGCACACATGGACATGCGCCCAGTGTGAGTTTAAGCCACCAGGCCTGGGACTGCAGTCGACTACATGGGAGTCCAGCAACATAGCTATTACACTAACTGCTGGTCCCTGAATGTTTTTCTTTCTAATCAGAGAAAAAAAAAAAAAAAAACCCTTGAAGAAATGCTTTTTGACAAATACACAACAGAATTACAGACACTCTGTAATATTGAGGGACCTCTCTGTGATGCTGAAAGTATAATCAGGAAATGTTCGCCTGGAAAAGACTTTTGGTCAAGGGAACCCTTGAGTACTCCAGTTGCTTTTTTTGGATTTAAATAATGGCTACAGTAATGGTAACCGGCTTTACTGATTTACAGAAGCTACCAATGGCGCAGTACCCCAGGGCCAGCGACCACCACCTCGTATCAAGAATTTCCAGATAAACAACCAGATTGTGAAACTGAAATACTGTTATACATGCAAGATCTTCCGGCCGCCCCGGGCCTCCCATTGCAGCATCTGTGACAACTGTGTGGGTGAGTAAAAGCCAGTGAACACTGCCTGGGAGAGGCTGGGTTGTCCAGGAGGGTCAAGGTGGCCACTGATTCTTGGGAAAACTCAGCAGGGATGAAAGATAGATTTTGATAGGAAATAAGCTACATTTAGATAGGAAATTTAGATAGGAAACAAGGTCCTTGACAAGCGCAAATCTACTCTACCCGTGTAGATCAAGTCATAATGGAAATGCTATAGTCTAAGATGAAAATGGCAATAACGAAACATCTCTTTTGTAAATGGGAAAATTCATGTTACCTTATTTTGAAATCTAGATTTTCCTCCAGTGGATCTGTTCCATGTGGGGCCTACTTTATGTAGGGGGAGGAGAATCCTAGCCCACTGGAGGGCAGTATTGAGGAGGGAATTTCTGTGTAAGACAGTGTCCCCAAAAGGGGAAGGTTGCCAGCATTTATCGAGTTTTTTACTCCATACTGGTGTTTTCCTTTCTCTCGCATAACACCCGTGAAATTGGTGTTATCCCCTTTTTACAGATGAGGAAATAAATAAAGCACCTTTGTATAAGTTCATGTAATCAGTATAAGGTGAAGCTGGAACAGATTTGATTCCAAACCTCTCGTTTCTTTTTCTCTGCTGCTGCCTCCAAGGTTGGGATGTATGTGTATATAATACAGGGGTGTGTACTTCCGTCCACATAGATGTGGCTTAGTTGTAATCATCACCTCCTATGTGCTGAACCCTGGGAGAGACTAGAAACAGTTCATGCGCCTGTGGCTAAGCGGGGATGTGGAATTTCTGATCGTATTTCT